CGAAGATACATAAGCAGGATTGTCCCTTTCGTACAATAGTTTCTTCGATAAATAGTCCCTTGTATTCGTTGGCAGTATTTCTTCATAATATTATCATTCCAAAACAATTCCTAAGACGGATAGTCATATTGAAAATAGTTTTAAACTTGTTAAGAAACTTGATTGGTAGGCGGCTCAGTAATGAATTCCAGTTAATGTCATTGGATGTCGTTAGCTTCTTCACTAACGTTCCCATCGACTATGCGATGGACTGTATCAGACCATTGGAGCTTTATCTCTAGAGATTGCTGTTTATCGGAATTTTGAAGAGGAATTCATTAAAGCAGTTCATTTTGTTTTGGATTCTACTTTCTTTGTTTTTGATAGTGTTACTTATAAGCAGAATTATGATACGCCTATGGGCTCCCCGTTATCTCTTGTCATCGCGGATTTAATTATGCGAAGCTTGGAGAGTAAAGCTTTGTCTTCGATTAAATTCCCGTTGCCCTTTTGTTATAGATATGTTGATGATATAATCTTGGTGGCTCCTGATTATTCGGTTAGTTCCATTCTTGAGATTTTTAATTCTCAGCATCCACGGCTTCAGTTTACTATGGAAGTGGGGGGGTGATAAATTAAATTTTTTGGATGTTGTAGTGATTAGGGATAATGAGACGATAGAGTTCGATTGGTACCACAAGCCGATTACTCCTACAGTACTTTTTCAGGTAGATATTTGAACTTTTGATCACAGCATACGGTTTCGCAAAAAATAGGTACAGTCGCGGGATTAGTTGATAGAGTAGTTCTGCTTTCGAATCCCAAATTTCACTTTGGTAACTTTTGTTTCATAATTAAGGTATTGTTAGGGAATGATTATCCATTGAACTTTATATTTGAGAATATTAGTAATCGGTTGAAGAACGTTATTATGGCTAGTAATAGGAAGAATATAGTTAAGAAGAATAGCGTTGATGTAGTGCAATCTTCGTGGTTCACGGTTCCTTTCGTTCATGGCATTATTGAGAAGTTTAATAGATTAAAGAGCGATTATATGAGGGTGTCGTTTTATAGCGTTAACAAGTTGCGAGGATTCATTAGGGTACAGAAGGATCCCGTAGTAATAAGTCGAATGTAGTTTACAAAATTTCTAGTAAGGACTGTGACGCGAGTTACGTGGGACAGACGTGTAAACAGCTAAAAACAAGAGTCACAGAACATAAGAACCATATCCGATGGAATACGTACACCCACAACGTCATAACGGAGCACCGATTGCAAGAGGGCCATGAGTTTGATTGGGACAACGTTACAATACTGGACGAGGAACCTCACTACAGGAAAAGACTGATTTCGGAAATGATATTCATCAGGAGACAGACGCACGGACTTAACATGCAGACGGATATGGAGGGGCTCCCCAAGACCTACCTCCCGATCATCGACAAGCTATAAAAGGTCGAATTGTTGTCGCGTCTAGTCAGTCAGTGTCGCTCGTACACAGGAAGAAGTCTTACTAGTGTTGATTTTAAATTATTTTCAAAATTCTTTTTCTTGAATTTGATTAACTTTTTAACGTTAGTTTTCTAATTGCTATCTCAATAAAGACCAACTAAAAGTGACTCACTGTGTCTGATACTGACTAGCCAACATATCAGAAACCGGTTTTTGAATTACTATAGTATTGTTTGCGATGTGGTGCCTTGTGATCATGGTGAGCTTCCTAACTTTCGGGATAATGAATTATAATTTTAAAATTTTCTGATACATTCATTTTTCATTTTCTCTATTTCAAGATTTCCAAAATTTCTTTTCGTTTTTATTTATTTCATTCTTATCTGAGTTTAATTCTGACATTTATATTCTCGATACGGGGGTGCTCACCATGACAAGTTAATAATTGTTATATTTTATATATGTGAGTTTATATTGCTCTGAAGAAGGTTCAAAAATGAGCCGAAACATGTAAGCGCGTTTAATAAAATAAAGAAGTTTTACGCTTTATAGTCGTATTATTTGCGCAACGTCTTCCGCGCTTGATTCCTATTGCCCATGTTCTTTCTTAGTTCTTTTGCAAAATTACAACTTAGACCTCCAAAAGAATTGATCCATATCGATGATTCTATAGCTCAAGTTTCTCTTCAAGCTCTTTTAAATCATACTGCTGAAAGGATAGTTCAGATGCAAGAAGAAGTGATATTTTATGCTATGGATACAATACAATGCACTGAATCGAAATTAACTCTAATATGCTCTTGGGGTTTTGATGGCAGTACAGGCCATTCCGCTTATAAGCAGCGATATGTTCATATTGATAAAGATGAAAACGAAAGTGATGAAAGTTTATTCGTGACCACACTCATTCCTTTACGCTTAAACTCTGAACATAATGTTGCATTATGGAACAATAAAAACTCTCAATCACCTCGATTTTGTCGTCCAATTCAGTTACGATATATAAAGGAATCCAAAGATGTCATCTTGCAGCAAAAACAGGCGGTTGAAAATGAAATAGATAAACTCCATCCTTTTGTAATTGTTTCCGGCTCTTATCACATTACTATACATTTTTTTTACCTCTTACTTTAATTGATGGCAAAGTATTAAACGTAATTACAAATACATGTTCAATGCAATCATGTCCCCATTTGTCATGCGACACCAAAAAATTTTAATAATCTATCTAATAGGAAGTCTGAAATTTTCACCTCGAACTCGGAATTTTTATGTTATGTTATCTCTTCTCTTCACGCATGGATTAGATTTCTAGATTGCTGCTTGCATATTTCCTATAGATTAACCATCGAAAAGTGGCAAATTACAGGCGATGAAAATAAAAAAATAATGGCTGACCGCAAAAGCTACATCCAGAAAGTTATGTGGCAAAAATTTGGATTGCTAGTCGATAAGCCAAAAGCAGGAGGCAGTGGCAACACGAATGATAGAAATACTGCTCGTAGGGCATTTGGTAATCCAAAATTTGAGCCAACCAGGCCATCGCACTTATACGTTATTACCTCCTCATCGTAAAGCCGGAGTTCCCCGATTAGCCCCAACAACTGTCCCATCCACATTATTCGCACATTTGTTCCCATAGCCTGTCCGCGTCCGTTAAAGGGTGTGTATTCCGGTGCACCAGCTCGATGACCCGCCGCGAGCCCCCTAGACGCGCAAACTGAGCAGCGTAGGGGCAGTCGACAATCAACAGTCCTGTGTCCGTCGTTCCCTCCACATTGAAAGCACCAAGCGGAACGGTCTATCGGACTCTGACAATTGATCTTGGTGCCCAACCGCGAAGCAACGAAAACACTGTAGTCTTCGCTTTGCCAAGGGCACGACACCCGCAGAGAACCAACCCAGTCTTATACATTCAACACTTAATAATTTATTGGCACATGAAAGGGAGTATTGCACCCATATAGTGTTCAACCCCCCACGCCCCAATCTATAGGGACCAGTTCTTATGTCCTCGATAGGAACCTGTCCAATAGTAGTCACAGTCCTGGCCACTTCCCCCGCGGAGATAGACTGGTCAACGTCGATTAGCCTGATCTCCGCACGTCGGACCGGGCGCACAACGCTTACCTTGTCTTTGTATTCGCTCTCGTCCAGCACAGCCTTAAGACGGTCAACAAGCGCTTCAGCCTTGGCGCCCGCCTCCTCACCATCGGGAATCTCAATGATAAGGCCTCCAGCCTGTGCCCTCCGAATACGAGTATTGGCGATATTCATCTCCTCCAGGGAGATCTTGCCTCTCGCCAACCTCATCACATCTGCATACGACGGCCCGGACTTGTCTTCTATCCCCGCACATCTAAGTAAGACGGCCGCAGTCCTTGGGGCACGAAATCGGGCCTCCTTCGTGGTAGGACGACGTGGCGCAATCATCGTACCGTATTGCGAGGCATACCGGTAGACGAAAAAGTCCCGGTTGCACGACCCGTAGCAGCAGCATAGGATCCACGGGTATTGGGTTTCGGCATATCACTATTCGCAGCTCGGCGTACACTTACGATCTTGCCTCCCTTTCACAGGAGGAGGGGGGCACGACATTTAAGTTCGTAGTTTTCCCAGCGTCCATGCAAGCGCCGGGAGCCTCGTTTTTTTTTCCTTTTTTCTTTTTCTTTACTCTTTTCCGCGTGCGTTTAGAGTCCACCTCCATCCACAGTTCTCCATCTACTGGGTATGCCGCCGGAGGAGGTGGAGGCTGCGCACGCGAGGTACCTTCGGGTGCCACCTCATCCTCAGCACGCACATCCTCTGTCCTCGTCTTGTTCACTCGCGAATCGGAGCGATCGCCAGACGCAATCCGTGTATTCACGACGATACGTCCCAATCTCTCTGGTGGGTAGAGGTCTATCATATAGCCTCTTACTTACTCCACCGAGAGGCGGTCTGTATACAGGAGGGAGATTTAACAAATCATCTCTATTTACACGCGTATCATCATCCGCAATGGGTTGCCGATGTCGCAAGAAGCGTCTCCCATAGTCCCGAGAGCGACGCGAAAAAGGAAAGTCATGCAAAGGAACGGTTCTGTCCGAGGAAGACACCTGGTCTCCAGTACGACCCCTATCCCTATCACAGTTGTAACAACCTAACTTTCTACGCGTGGATATGGCTCGTCGGAGCCTCTCGGCGCGAGGCGAGAAAGAGGTTCGAGCAGGTTGGAGTGAGATGCAGTTATGCAGGCGGTTGAGCGAAATGAACGTATTGATAGTGATTAAACAAATTAACTAAATAGCTTTAATATAATGCCAATGGTTTATACAAAAGGTACGCATACAATTATTTACAACAAGAAGAAAAGATACGTGTGCTAGATACCTCGAGTATGCTGTCACGGCTCGGTATCTATAGAACGAGACGAGCGGTCGCACCGGATTCGTTGGCTGGGGCGCGCGGG